CCGCAGGCTGAAGCACTTTTTTTTGCGCGACGGGAATATGTTAATTAGTTTCAGATTAAACGGAAAGACCTCGGTTTGTAAGCTTCTGTATCAAATTAGAGTGTAGCGAAGGTTAAAGCAGCCCTGTTCTTCACAGCTAATCTCAGAGACGCAGAGGAAAGGCTGCAGTAATCTCTGCTCACCGTCACACACAGCAGATGCTCGGCAGCCTCTTCTGAAAGCTAAAAAAAGAGTTTGAGATAGTGGGGTTTGACGACATCTGGGCTTGAAGCGCTGACTGATCATCTTTAACCCCTTTTAATCTCTTCTATTAATCTAATTGCCTGACGTGTCAAGACTGCGAAGCCACTAACTCGGCGGAAAATGTGGGTCATTAATGAATATTTGAGTGGGAATCTGCAGGGCTGAGCACAAGGGTTTCTTATGAAGCTGGTCAGACAGAAAACTGAACCCCAAATCCTGACTGTGATCAAATGTGATGTCACTTCCTGTAGGTTTGCCGGACTTGAAATGCCACGGTGAAAAAGACGAGGCAAGAGTTTTCAGTGAGCTTTCTTAAACTGCAGGTGAAACTCGTTCATGTAATCATCATTAAGCAGCTGCACAGTTCACTTCTCTCAGTGCCAAGTCCTGGTCCTTGAGGGCCGCTGTCTTGCAAGTTTTAGATGTTTCTCTGCTTCAACACCTGATTTGAATGAACAAGTGATTAATAGGCTTCTGCAGAACTTGAAGACATGCAGAGGAGCAGGGAAACAGCCAAAACATGCAGGATAGTGGCCCTTGAGGACCAGGATTGGGCAGTGGCTCAGCTAAACCTTGGGCAGCACTGAGTCTTAAACCTAACTAACCCAAATGATCTGTTATAAATCCAGACGGTGAAGTCAGGCTTGGTTCAATGATATACGACCTGAGCATCTTGGAGTTGTCTCCTTTCTTTTCTCCTCTCTTCCTCTGTGTCATATTTTTGGATCAGTTGATCTGACACACAGCCGCCGTGCCTGATTTCTTCCTGGTCTTTTTATGACTCACACTGCAGTTCTCATGCTCTGGCTGAGACCCCAGTTTGTATTCACAGTATAACCAGCCTCACCTTAAGGAAAAACCAGAGCAACGATGTTAAAAAAAAAAGTCACAGKGATTTTAGAAACAATGCAGGGATGTTTTTGATGGGGCGAAGCTGATATCTCTGAGTAGGGATGCGCCGATATGAAAATTTAATCCGATATTGATATCCGAAAAAATTATTGCTGTTATGGCWGATAACGATATTTACCAATATTACACAAACACACAAATTATTTATATTCATATATGCACAAACACACCTGAGTGTTTTTTCAATACCATAAATAAACTACATGGCTCTACTTCAGTTATTCCTGGCTGTGTAGCGTCACTATCACTATCATGATCAAACAGATACCACTCTTGTCGACCGAACATTTCGCCTCCCAAAACAGAAACACAAATCTAAAAATGGAAAATAATCAGACGTTAATARCTGTCCCGTTTTACATATCGGGCCGATATGCTAAAAAATAACCAATATCGGCCGATACTGATGTTAATGCCGATATATCGTGCATCCCTATCTCTGAGAGGAATAATATTGTTGCTGCAGGTTTGAGTCCAGGTTGCGTCATGAAGGGTGTCTGGTGTAAAACGTTGGCCAAATCTTTCTTATATGTGACCTCTGAAAGCACAAGAACAACTTATAGCGAATTTCTGCGTTGCTTTATTTTTGTTAAATTAAATCTGATCCTCAGCATGTTGGACATCAGAGGCATCAGCAGTTGCTATATTTCCACACCTTGGAAGTTCGAGCACATAAAAATACACTCAATCATAGTCCGAGCATCTTTCTGCAGAGCTCACTGCAGTGAAATGCCCCCCTGTAGCTCATTGTTTCACACGTTTCACCACTTTCTCAATCCCCCCTCTTTATCAGTTTGTTGGGAAGGGGTCGGCTACAATTCTTAACAAGCATTTCTCTGTTCCTTCTGTGTAAATTGATAGTCTGAAGCTGTGAAGAGGCTGCTGTTGTTTTGTTTGTTGCTTTATTCTTTGAGAGTTCTCGTGTTCCTCTGCAGTCGATTCGAGATAACGGTCTAAATATAGAGATGGGTGGAGGGCCTCACAGAGTCCTGGTGGCTCAGGTTGTGCTCTCAAGAATCAGCAAGGTCTTTTAGCACATGGCCCTTTAGTTCACATACATGCTAAAAGTTTATACACAGACAGCTGATTTTTGTTTTTATATTTGGTTACGTTTCATGACCAGATTACCCGTCTGGAGTTTTTGTGCTTGTAGTGTTGTGCTTAGTAAGTTTCACCAAGTAAAACATACATTAATGCTRTGCTAGTTGTTTAGCTTTTGTCGTTTTCTTCCTCGCATCATTTTGAAGTCTTGGGTGTTAGGGCTGCACAATATATCACAAATATATTGTCATCGCAATATCATTGTGCGCAATGTTAGTAGCAGTGTGCACTAATGTATTTGAAGAGTTTTGAAATTTTATTTTTATTACTAATGCAATATATAGCCAGTCAACATGTTCTCACTCCCGACTCGTCAATATATTGACGCTTGGTCAGGTARCGTCTGTGTCCAGTTCTGTCATTGCCGCCCACGGCTTTTCGCCACATAAGGGTCTTTGGGTTGGGGGGCCTGTGGTTAATATCAGGACTAATCTAAAGATCAGGATTAATGGTTAATTGTAGGTACTGAGGTCGGGGATAAGCTGTATGGCTAATAGAAGTTCAATTGAGGGTCTGGGATGGTTAGTTATCGCATATTTCCTACTCTTAAAAATATGATAATGCGCTCCTCCCCTGTCTCATCTTGTTAAGAAGTGGCACGAGGTGGGTACCCGACGCATCCAAAACTGGATGCAGACGGCTACCTGACCAAGCATCAATATGTTGACGAGTCGGGAGTGAGAATAGGTTGAGCCAGTAAGACAGATTCTCATGGAAGCAAAAGCTCACACCAGAAATAAATAGCATTGCCATTTGAAGTACAGAGATTATGAAGTGCAGATTAAAAATGAGGAAAGAGAATAAAGACATATATCACATCTGATATCATCATTGCAATATTTACAAAAATTATCCCCATTGCAAGACGTTCTAATATCGTGCAATCCTATTGGATGTCCTCTGTTTCTAATTGGGGCATCATCAGATGCGGGTGATACTCAGGTTTTATGTGTTCGGGACAGTAAAAGATTTTTGACCAACTTGTTCTGGTAAAAATAAAAACAGTTGCATTTTCTTGGTTTCAGGGATTGAAAAACTAAGCATGTTGTTTTCTTTAGGTATAAACATAACCTGTTTGTCAGTCTAGATCTCGAAGTTCCACAGAAGGCATGCCAATTTCTACGAACCTTGGTGACCCACTTTGACTGGAATCTCCAGTCTATATTCGGCACATGTTCCTGTATGCTATTCCAATGACTTGGTTTTGGTGTTTCACACATGCATACCTGCATTTTGCACAGCCTGGATCTTGCGTTCTGCCTGGTTATGGTACCAGGCTTCAATTGCTCTTGTGCTGCCATGATTAGTACCTCAGTGCTGCTGTCCTTCAGTCCTGCCTCGTAGGATTTGTTGACATCAGCCACTTCCCTAATCTGCCAATGCTCCATGCATTGCATCTTTGGGCCTGTCACAGTAACAAACTTTATTGGACGATAAATTGTCTGAGAAATTATTGCGATAAACGATAATATTGTTGGAGACATAACCCTCCTGTTTACGGAAATTTACATTGAAATTTACATAGTGTAAAAAGAAAAAACTCTGCAATCCTAAGGATCCTCCAGCTGTATGAAGGGGTCAGAAAACTGAAGACCCTCCTCTGGCTAAATGCCTGTTCATGGACTTTCATGCTACAGAGATTAGAGACCATGCACCTGGCAAATACCTGACACCAGAGTTCACTCTGCTGTACGCTGAGAAGTAAAAAAGAGGGAGCCACGAAGAAAACAAACAAGCAGGCAAATGAAATTTATTGTCTTAATTTTAATTTATCTCCCTCAATTTAATTTATCATACGATTAATTGATTTATTGTTTACTGTGACAGGCCTACTCATCCACGTTGGGTTTCTGCTGCCCAAGACCTTCACTCAGTAACTATCCAAACAACTTGTTGAAATCAGAACAAGAATACCCAGCAAAACCCAGAGATCATACACTGTATTTAAAACAGATACACTAGATTGAGTTTCTATTCGAGGAAACTGTTGTTTGGGAGCGTGTGTGGGCCAAATCTAAAGTTACAGCCATCGTGGGTAGTTGTRACTGTGGGCGTAGCTATCAGGTTACATTTTTAATGAACTGCAACTCAAGCTGTCACTCCCATCATGAAGGATGCACCTTGAGTTTTTAAGAGACGTTTGTGTAGTAAATGGTAGCACCATCGTGTTGCTTCTCATTCAAATACTGGAAATAAAATGTAAAAGTTGCAGTCTTTGTCCACACTTTGCTGAAATGAGTTTCGGAAGGCTGAGTGATGCTGAATTACTCCTCAGACATTTTTCTTCAGACGTCATGACTGATTGCGTCTAGAAATTTTACCCGTGAGGGAAAAACTCAACATTTGTTTTTGGATTTTCTCCTGACGCTGCAATATGCTGCTTTGATTAATATCAAGGAGGCAAATGCACAACTTTTAAGACCATCTAGTTCATCACTGTCGACTGTTATGCTGAGTCTAACAGAAGCTGCAGGAATCTCATAGTTTTGAACCCTCATTAGGAGGGTGAGCTTTTTTTGAAACAGCTCCATGGTCAATAGTCTATGTGAGAAGTACTTTTTTGTTGTTTTTGCTCAAAACATGATTAGTTACTCTAGTCTGCATTTTTAAATGGAATATAAGAAGCATATTTACAGTGTATTTGTACTACCATTGCTGATGATTTCTCACGACTTGTCTTTCACAAGCTGTGATCACTAAAACTGTTTATTAAAAAGTTTTTTTCTTCATTTTTTTTCCACCAGATGGCCTCGGCAACAGCGACCTACGGGCAGAAGGAGGCCTCCGACCAGAATTTCGACTATATGTTCAAGATCCTAATCATCGGGAACAGCAGCGTGGGGAAAACCTCCTTCTTGTTCCGCTACGCCGACGACTCTTTCACGCCGGCTTTCGTCAGCACGGTGGGGATCGACTTCAAGGTGAAGACCATCTACAGGAATGACAAGAGGATCAAACTTCAGATCTGGGTGAGACGAGCATCAACAAACAGGATCATCATCATCGTCATGGGTTATCTCTGTAATGTCAGACGCTTCTAGTAGGGCTGGGCATAATCGTATCATGTGCAATTATTCGTCAGAAAAACATTAATCGATTATTTTTTGGCACTTGACGATTAATACAATTAATGCCACCAGGCAGANTTGGCACTTGACGATTAATACAATTAATGCCACCAGGCAGAGTGACTGGAAATTTCCCCGGTCATTCCGCTCGATGCTCCTCTCCGCTTCAAATACGACAAACATTTAAAAAAACAGTTCTTTAATTTATTTATCAAAACTCTGTTTTTACTTGGTCTATCAACACAATAAAAAAAAATGATGTACGGCCTGAAGTCTGTACTTTTGACACAATTTGGAACAGATTTGTTATGAAGAGAAAACCTTTCCCAATAGAGTGATTTAAATTGGTGATGTGACTAGGATATGAGGGTGTCCAGGGACTCGTCAAATTAATCATAATCGGCTAAATACCACAATTAATCGTGATTGATTTTTTTGCCAATATGGCCCAACCCTTGCTTCCGGTGTGGTGGTTTGGTTAGGTGTATATGCCCGTCATGTYTTTTAATGGGTTTTAATTAGGTGTAACAATACATCGATCTACATCGATATATCGATTAAATGATTAATGATTTAATTAAATCAGGATGAAATGAAAAAAAATCGATCCATTTCGTCATCATATGCCCATCTAACACAGTCGTTTTGTTAAATGGYCATGTAATATTGCATCATATTGATCGCTGTCTTGTAAATTGAATTGAATTGAAATTGCGTCGTGAAAGGCTTTGTGATACTGAGAAATATATCGCCATCCAAACAAATTGATACAATCGTATCATGATAAATCTGGTGATTAGTTTTAATGCAGCCCATATTTCCCATCATGTCTGTCAGAGTCATCTGCTTCTCTGTGATACATCGTCCTATGCTGCAGCTCTGTTATGCAAGCTGTCCTCAGATTTCTCTGAGAGCACTCAACGTCGCCTCCTCTGCAGCCTTTTCATTCACACCAACCTTAGATGGATAAAAAAAGAAGAAGAATGAGAAGTGATGAGAGGACGTAGCAAGCCTTGGTGACATGTACTCGGGAATAAGCAGAATGACGTTTCCTCCGATGCTTTGTTGCATCGTGCGTCGCTCGGAGAGGCTCAGGAGAAAAACACTGAAAGCAATAAAATGCAGCTTGCAACGAAAACGGACTCCCCGGAGTGAGAGGCAGAAAACTGGTGTTTCAGCACCACATTGTGAAACAAGACATCACTTCTACATGTACAACACAGTCTGCAGCAGCCGGAGCTGTGACTGTGAGCACAAGTGTGTGTGTGTGTGTGTGTGTGTGTGTGTGTGTGTGTGTGTGTGTGTGTGTGTGT